TATGCTGAATCACTTTTCATTTCTTGAACATTCCTCTTGCCTTCATACATGTGAATATTTCATTTCTTCTCTTTGGAATTATTTTCTTCTAACAACTTGTCTGTCAGACAATCTCCTGTAAGTGTTTTAAAACCAGTCCAGATTACAGATCACCTCCTCTCTGAAGACTTTTCTGACATCTCCAACAGTTCTTTCTCTCTCTCCCCACCTCCCATTCCCCTTTAATCTTTTATATATATCACTTGACATAAAGAATTGAAACTGTACCTTTAAATGTCTGTCTTTGCCACTAGACTTTGAGCTTTTTGAAGCCAGGCAATAAGGTTTTTTCATCTTTCTTCCCCTAGGATCCAGCACACAGCATATTTTGTCACTGTTGCCCATATATGCCTTCTGAATTAACAGCAACTGAATTGACCCAGGAGGATCTTGGAATGTGCCCTCAAATGGCTGTTACTATGGCTGACAAGATTTGGAATTGCTAAGATCTCTAAATAAACTGTCTCTGGTCACCATCTCTAATAAGCAGTTTTGCTAGAAACTGAGATGAATTAAAGCAGCTAGAAGACAAAGTCTATTTCTCCTGGGCTGTCTCATTCAGAGGCCACTCTTCCTGTCCACACAGTGATTTATTACTTGATACATGAGGTGCAAACAGATTCCAGCAGGGCTTCCTCTTTGAGAAACCCTTATGCTCTTAAGTAGCAAGGAAGGGATTATAGGGGAAGATGTATGTCCTGGATCCTCTTTTCTATGAAATCTCTGTTGTCTTCATTAAGTAGAGAGTCAAATGGAAACCAAAAGGTCAGTGAAAAATCCTTGGCCCACACTATTCGTTGACATTTTCTGCAGGCATATCCTGTCCCTGTTTGTCTGACTGTTCACAGAAACAGGGACGACACTTCATTCAAGGGCTTTCTTTAAAGCTTTCAGGGTCCCGGTTAGATGCTGTGCTTCTGTTCCTCTCTTCGCCTCCTCCTCACAAGGCAGATCTTTGACAGCCGAGGACATGAGACTCTACTCCTCATATTCCTGCTCAGAGTGGATGCTAAGAGCCTCAGAAGAACACTTCCCAAGTTGTCAGGAAAGCTTCCTGCCAACGGCCCGAAGCAGAGCGTCCTTGACCTCTTTATTCCTCAGGGTGTACACCACAGGGTTCAGTAGGGGGGTGATGACAGTGTAGGTCACTGAGATCAGCTGGTCCTGATCTCTGGTGTTTTCTGACTTGGGCTTGAGGTAGGCAATGGAGGCACAGCCATAGTGGACAATGACCACAGTGAGGTGGGAGGAACAGGTAGCAAAGGCCTTCTTCCGGCCCTCGGCTGAGGCGATCTTGAGGATGGTGGAGATGATGAGGACATAGGAGATGAAGACCAGACCCATAGGCACAACAAGCACCAAAACGCTAATGATCAGAGTCAGGATCTCATTGACAGTGGTGTCAATGCAGGAGAGCTTCATCACAGGCCGGATGTCACAGAAGAAGTGGGCCACCTTTGTGGCACAGAAGGGCAGCCTAAACACAGCTGACACCTGTGTCATGGCCACAGTCAGCCCAATGCTGCAGGCGCCCCCCACCAGCTGGACACACACCCTCTTGTCCATGATGACTGTGTATCTCAGGGGGTTGCAGATGGCCACATAGCGGTCATATCCCATTGCTGTGAGCAGGAAGCAGTTGGTGATCCCAAAGGTTACGAAAAAGAACAGCTGTGTGGCACAGCCTGCCAGTGAGATGGACTGGCTCATGCCCACGAGGCTGGACAGCATCCTTGGGAGAATGACTAATGTATACACAGTCTCTGAAGTGGACAGCATGCTGAGGAAGAAGTACATGGGGGTGTGGAGATGACGATCAATACGGATGATGGTCACAATGATTGTATTACCTGCCAGGGTCAAGATGGACAATGCAAGGAACACCACAAAAAGAGGGAGCTGGTGCTCATGGAAGCCGGAGAAACCTCGGAAAACAGACTCAGTGGTGAGAGTGTGGTCTCCTCTCTTCACTGAGTTGTCACTAAATCTGAAATGTAGGAGAATGAAAGTTGCATGATTTCAGTAAAGCAGTCCAATCACATTTCTGAAATTGATTGGTTGAACTTCATTCTCAGCTAGCAACCTGGGGATACATCTCCCAGTGGCTTAAAGTCAATCCCTGGGTTTCCTTTCTTAGAACATTTTTATTCTGTAGCCATCTTCATGTTTATTTGGATTACTGTCAGCCCCCCACGGTGCCACACTCTCCTCACGTAAACACTCTGTGACTTTATGCCCTTTGCATCTGCGTATCTCACTAGCTCAGGTTTATGCATGGATTTGATGCTTGAAAACAATTTGTTTAGGGATTGACTGGAGTCTTCTTTTATCTCAAGACTATGAATCATCCCCTTGCACCTCCTTTAGGAAGCAGAAGCAAAGCAGACGCAGAGAAGTTCATCTTGTTTTCAGGAAGGAAAATGTGAATCTTAAGCAACCACCACCCTCTCCCCACTGCTGTCTGAATGATGGAAGTCGGCTGACAGATCACAACACCGACTCACGTATATTGTAAACTCTGCAGTGTCATCTTCCCTAAACGAGAAAGCAAATTTACAGCCAGTACAATTTTATGAGTAGGCAGACACCTCCTCTGCAGAGGTAAACAACTGTACTAGGGAATATGCAGAAAATTCAGGTGTCCCTCACCTAAACAAAAGCAGACCCTGAATATAAAGAACAGAGTTAACACTAAAGATACATCGTTTTGTTGAAGGATGGGGCTCAGTCCAATTCATGTAATATTTCACATTTTTGTTCCTTTAGACAGTAAGCTCCTGTAGAGTATTTAAATTATCTTCTGATTTCCTTATGCATATTCAGAAAAAGACTTTTTGCATAAAGTAAGTCACTTCGGTGATGAAGGTTAGTAGGCATGCACAAAGACCTCCTTTAAGTTTATAAAAAATTATTTAAGAGAAGCTGGTGACCAACCATTAATCACTTACACTAAGAATGCTAAGAGAGTAAAGTTGCAACAGAAAATATTTCCCATTAGGAAAAATCATTTGACACTAAAATATGAGGCTAAAGACATTTATCTTCTGTGAGGCTTCTGGGCATAAACTAGGCAATGGTCCAGCCATGGAGTGGTGTGGCACCTCTACTATGAAATAAAAAAATGTGTGTCAGAGCTTTTGATTGTTACAATGATGGTCATGGGTATCGCTAGCAATTAATGGTGCTAAGTGCCCTGCAAGACATGTGACAGTCCCACCCAAGGGAGAATTGTCCTATGCCAAATACCAATAGGGCTTCTGCTGAGAAACCCTAGGCTCAAGTGTCATCCAGTCTGGCTGACGCCCGTATGTTTTGAGGTAGAGGAATGGCTGGTACAACCTGGTTAGCTTGCTCCATCCTTCAGAGCCTATAATTCTTCCAAGAAAATCAAGGGAAGGAAGAGCAAACACCACCTTCTCTAGCTGTGACAAGAGCTGTTCTACTACAATAAATTAAAGTCAGTCCACAAGCAATAAGCCCCAATTCAGTTCCTTTTCTAAGGAGCACTTACTTGTGACTACCTAGTTCTGAGGCACAACAGGAGAGCTGGGCTGGAGGAGGCCGAGG